TTTTTTTTTTTTTTTTTTTTTTTTGTGTCTGTTACCACTTTTTCTCAGCTCTCACCGAACCGATTTCTTTCAATGATTAGTCAAAAGATCACAAATCGTATCTAGTCGAAGATATTATCCTTAAAAATTGAAAAAATTTCACTCGTTCTCCGTAAATGGGGGAAACCTCTGAAAAAATTACAAATTTAAAAATCGCTAATTTTCGATATTTTTTCAATTTTTTTTACTTAAAAGTGCCATAACTTTTTCAAAAATGAACATATCAATATAATTCTTTTTTATGTAGATGCATAATATCATTACCTTTCATTTGGTATATTTTTTTCATAAATTTAACCCTTAACCTGCCCACAAGGGGGGATTTAAAATGAAAACTTTTTCACAAAAAATTAATTTTTTTAACTTAAATTTTGAAAATGTTCCGGAAGGTCTGACACTTTTATATATATCTTAAATTAAAGCTAATGTAATATGCTTTATCATGAAAAAAAAAAATTTCGGACTTTATCTTATCTTCATGGTGAAAATGGCTACCGAATGCTATTTTTGTGTGAAAATTTTCGATTTTGTATTTTCCATTTTTAACTTTATTATGCTATAACTTTTTGAAAAATGTATGAATCATTACAATTTTTTTATGAGAAGTAGTATTTATATAGATCTTTCATTCGACATACTGTTTTTTTAAATCGGACCATTTCCCTAAATACAGGGGGGATTCAAAACATAAAAATGCATATAGAAAGTAGAACTTTTTCAACGTAACTTTTGAAAGTGTTCCGGAAGGTCTGACACTTTTATATATATCTTAAATTAAAGCTAATGTAATATACTTTATAATGGTAAAAAAAAATTTCGGACTTTATTTTATCTTCATGGTGAAAACAGACATTAAACTTAATAAAAAAAATACGATTTTTGTAAAAAAATTCTTTTTTATATTTTTAACTTTATAATGCTATAACTTCTCGAAAGATGTATGGATCAATATAATTCTTTTTTTTGTAGATGCATGATGTCTTTACCTATCATTTGGTATATTTTTTTTATAAATCTGACTTTTTACCTGCCTACAGGGGGGGATTCAAAATGACAACTTTTTCACAAAAAATTGACTTTTTCAACTTAAATTTTGAAAGTGTTCCGGAAAGTCTGACACTTTTTTATATATATATTAAATTAAAGCTAATGTAATCTACTTTATTATGTAAAAAACAAATTTCGGACTTTATCTTGTCTTCACGATGAAAATGGCTACCAAATGCTATTATTGTGTGAAAATTCTCAATTTTATTTTTTTCATTTTTAACTTTATAATACTATAACATATTGAAAAGTGTATGGATCAACATAATTTTTTTATGAGAAATAATATTTATATCCCTTTTTTATTCGACATACATTATTTTAATCAGGATATTAATAAGGAACTAGCAGTTTATGAAGCTTTTGGAATAATCCACCAATTTTTTAAAATTAAACACTATCTAAAGATTTGCATCGAAGCGTTTTTTTTTGATAGTGATTTTAATCACTGTCAGATATCATTATACTTGATCCATCTATACCACGTCACCACTGTGCCGCGACCCCCCTGTGCTGGGTTGGGTTGGGTTTTTTATGTACTATAAAATGAAAAAAAAAAATTTGTCCCGACACTTTATCTTCTGCATGTAAACAGTTGCCGTAGTTAAAAAAACACTATTTTTGTGTTAAAATTTTCGATTTTCAATTTTTAATTTTCAACTTAAAAATGCTATAACTTTTCGAAAAATGCATGTATCAGCACAATTTTTTTTTTTCTNATTTTCGATTTTTAATTTTCAACTTAAAAATGCTATAACTTTTCGAAAAATGTATGTATCAGCACAATTTTTTTTTTTCTAAATACATTATAAGTACATACTCCATTTGACATACTTTTTATTAAAATTAGACAATTTCCCTTTATATAGGGGGGGTTCAAACTTTGAAACATTGTATAAAAAATTGAACTTTTTCAACTGAACTTTTGAAAATGTTCCGGAAATACTACGTCCTTCAAATATATATCAAATTAAAGCTTATTTTATGTAGTATAAAATGAAAAAAAAAATTTGTCCCGACACCTTATCTTCTATGTGCAAATCGCTGTCGAAAATTAAAAAAAAATGTAATGTTTGCGATAAAAATCACCTTCTATCCGAATGTTTTTTGTACTTAAAACTGCCATAACTTTTTCANGGGATGTTTTTTGTACTTAAAACTGCTATAACTTTTTCAAAAATGAACAAATAAAAATAATATTTTTTTGTATTGAAACCTTAGATTTTTCCCTTTCATTTGACATAATTTTTTTTTTAAAATCTAACACTTATTCTGCTCACTGGGGGGATTTAAAATAGTTACTTTTTTACAAAAACTAACTTTTTCAACTTAATTTTTGAAAATGTTCCGGAAATACTGCGTCCTTTAAACATATATCAAATTAAAGCTTATTTTATGTACTATAAAATGAAAAAAAAAAATTTGTCCCGACGACCTATCTTCTATGCACAAAAGGCTACCGTATTCAAAAATATGCTATTTTTGTAATACAATTCTGTGTTTTGTATTTTATTTTATTTTAAAATATCTTATTAGGGGAATATACTGACTTTCATTAATATTTTTTTATTAAAACTTTCACTTTTAAGGTCAAAAAAAAGTACGTTGAAAATGATTACTTTTAACCTATTAAAAATAAAAATCAATAATAATTTTAAAACAATTAATTTTAAAAATTATATAATATATAATTAAAAGAAAAACTAATCTGGGTATAATTAAGGAAATAGAAGTTGATGTTGCTTTTGTCCATCAATTTTTTAGAATTAAACACTATCTAATGATTTGCATCGAAGCGTTTCTTATGATAGTGATTTTAATCACTGTCAGATTAAATCTATACTGGACCTAACTAGGCAACATCCTCACTATGCCGCGACTTTTGTTTCTTTGAAGTCAAGAAAAATAACTTTAAAATTTGAACTAGCTAAATTTCCATTTTTATTAAGTGACGAATGAGACGTACGGTTTTTGAGACGGTAACTCTGAAAAAAATACGATTTTTGTAAAAAAATTATTTTTTATATTTTTAACTTTATAATGCTATAACTTTTTGAAAGATGTATGGATCAATATAATTCTTTGTTTTTTTTAACTAATTAGTAATAAATTTAACTAACTAGATCTACTTAATGGAGAATCATAATATATTAAAGATATAGAAAAATAAGGTCCATGGGAAATTTTATTTATATAAAAATATATTATTTATAATATAATTACTAAATTATTAAAATACAATATAAATTATATGTACTTAATAGCTAAATCTTATTGCATTAAATAATCAGTATTGGGATTATATTTCTTTATTTTTGTTTAAAAATAAAACAGGAATAAATAATTTTTATTGTTAAGTACTGGAAATAATCATTATTAGCAACTCTGCTCATTATCAAGGATACGTGGTTCCTAAATGTAAGCCATCCTGCCCATGGGTGAAATCAATAGGCATCAATAAATCTCCCTTCTTATTTCAAACTCTTGGTTAAATTAACTATGATTTTATTTATAAATATATCACACATTGAAATCAAAACTCTTGCAACTAAAAAAAACTATACTAATTTATAATTGCTAAAAAATATACAGTAGATCTTTAACTAATATTTTTTATTTTGAGTCAATTCAGTATAGATCTAAGAGTATGATTTATTAATAAGCATTAAATATGACTATATAGGAATTATATGTTCAATAATCCTTTAGAGTTATATAGGTTTAAAATACATAATTACACTTGGAAATGAAGTAAATTTATTAAAATTCATATTCTATTTCATTAATAATTTTTTATATTAACATTGTACAATCAACATTTTTTAAATAGGATAGATTCTTTTTAAAAAACTTAAAATGTGTGGGACAATAATAGGAGCGTTGTTTAAATGTACATGGTGAGAGCCTTCTACTTCAACATAAGTAAAATCATTGGTGTGTTCTTCTATTGTGTCTAATACATTTTTAAATAAAGGCCAATTATCCCGTACTCTACCTGGAACTGCTTTAATCATTAAGTAATGGCAACAAATATTTTTTGCAAATTCAATAACTGTTTCATATGATGGTAAAACTAATCTGTTGACCTAGAAAATAAAATAGAAACAAATTATACAATTATTTTGAACAGAAAAATATTTAATGATCAATTAGTTTTAACACCTCAGATGTTACAAAAATTATGAAAGCAGTGGAATTATTCAGGTTTTTTCTAGGATGGGCCAAGTACGTTTATGGTACAATTTTTTATCAAATGATTTATTCCAATATACTAAAACCCAATAAGTAAAAAAGTATAGTTGACATTACAATACGAAATAACTAACACTTTCTTAGACAATAAGGTTTTTCTATCGTTAAATATAAAATGTTTTTTTTCTTTGAGTTATGTACCTTTTTAGTTTGAAAAGTATTTCTTTATTAATTCTAAGATTTTTGATGACTCAAAGTTCATAATTAATTGTGTTTCAGCATTTTGTCTTTCCTGAACAATTAATTACTATGTAGTTACATGGTAATACAGTGGCAGCTGCAATATGTATATTTTAGAAAGTTTACCAGGACAAAATTTTATTATTATCTTCATAGGCACAAGTAGGGTTAGAAAGGCTTAATTTCACAATTGAAAAATTAGCTCAACTAAAATTTATAAATTTATATTTAATGTCATACATAAATATTTTTAGAGTAAAGGGAAATTACATACCACCTAAAAATATTAAGATGGTATTTATTAAAAAAATATATATATAAGTAAATTAATAACAATTATTTAATATAATTATATTTAAACCAAAGCTTTGTTTTAAGAAAATATATGGTAATTAAAAGTGTAACATGAAACAAAATTAGTAATATAAATGTAAATAAGATACAATAGTATATTTAAATATAATTTAAGCACATAAATTAAATATAAATTTCTGAAAAATTGATAAAATATTTACTTGTTTTTTTTGTAGTCTAATCATTTACTTTTAAACTAGGGTATATCTATGCTAAATTATCCAGACATGGTTGTAGGACTATTTCAAAATCTCAAAATTATAATTTTGAGATTTTGTACTTGTTGATCTTAATGTTTATAATTTATTTCAATGTGAATGACTATAGTAATATCAATAATAAAGCTTTTGAATTGGTTATTTTACAATAGATATTTTTAAACTTAATATAAACGTATATTAGTAATATATATATGGTATGCTATGTTAGGAACATAAAGCAAGATATTATGTCTTTTTGTGATATTTTGTAAATTAATTTAGTATAACATTAAAGCTTATTATAATTTATTGCTTATTTATTTATTAGTGATATTTATTGTTGAATTTTTAACAAGAAATAGAGAAAAATTGTGCTAAATTTTCATAACAAAAAAACATATGTTTAACATCTTTTAACAAAATAACAATGTATTTTTCTGATTTTTAAACACACTTTTAGGTATAATATACTTCTGAATTTTGAAAATTTTACTTTAGTTTTCAAAGTTTAATATAAATATTATGATATAATTAAAAAAATATTGATTGAAGGTACTCATCAAACTTAGTTAAAAAATTTCCCATTGTATTATTAAAAAAACATGTTAAAAAGTTAAAAAATTAATTGAATATAATCATATTTTTATTTAGGCTTAAACTAAGCGATTTTGATTAAAAAATAGAGTTTATTTTAAATATACGATTATCACTCAAAAATTAAAATAGAATTTTTTTTTTAAATAAACTATAATAAGTCATAGATAAACAAAAGTTAGGAAACAAAAAGTTTGAGGTTAATAACATTTGTATTAAATATGTAATTTTTATTTATTATAGAGATGGTTTTTTATTCTTTTTTATTATAATTGACATAATAATATAGTATAAATAAAAAAAATTTTATTTTAGATAGAGCCTAAGGAAAAGATCATAAAAATGTTGAAATTTTTTTAAATAGTCGTGCAATCATTCTAGATGTTTTGGTATGGATTGAACCATTACTCAAATTTTAATCAAATAAATAAAAAAAAATCAGTATAATTACAAGTTTAAGTAATATGATTGCTAAATACTATGCTTTATCACACTGTAATATGAAGTCTTTTACATCAGATGCTAAACATTCAGGATTGTTCAAATGTAAATGATGGGTACCATCATATTCAATAAATAAAAATTGTTTAACATTTGTTTTAATTATATTCAGCAGCTCTGAATACACTGGCCAATTATCCATTCGTATGTATGGCTTAGCTTTGATATTGAAATATCGACATTTTATACGTCCAGCATATTCTTTAATTACATCAAGAGAAGGTAAGCCCAACCATACTACCTAGGCATGCAAATTAAAATTTGAAATCGAAGTCTAGCAATCCCAATGATATTCATGACATTCAATAAGATAAATATTTACCTTAAGCCTCGTATCTCTTGAAAAGAAGTATTTATTATCTTTTACAGGATACATACCACGTTTCATAAGTATTTCACAAGCTTTACGAGTTAACGTACTATGATGACCATCCATTACTAAGTCAATCATATCAGAATAACCATATGATGGCATTTTATCTGATCCTAATGATTCATAATATAAAAACCTAAATTTTTTTATTATTTAATAATAAAAAAAAAAATTAAATATTTTTTTAAACACTTATTTTATATATAAAATATCTATTACTTACTTATCAATATTAGTTCCTGTATTTTTAGCAATTTCTGAAGGATCAAAAATTACAGGGGCTACAGTATCAATTGAAATCAGCATTTCTGTATCATCAGGGTAAGAAGCAGCATATAAAAAACCAATAGCTGCACCTAAAGAATGTCCCAATATTGACACATTGCTCCAGTTGTAATATTTAACTATTCTACGTAATATGACAAGTCCATCCCAAAATATATAATATGGGATCCCCTTAAAAAATTAAAATGAGTAATTACATTACAATTTGTGAACAAATTTAAAGCAAGTATATCAATTTTATAATTTAGACAAAAAACTGTAAATATTTTTTTATAGGAGATTGGAAAAATGGTTTAGAATAAGAAACAGCAACCCATGGCCCCTGAAATATATTTCATAGGCTCTACCAGTAGTGCCAACATGAACATTCTATAAATATGTCACAAAATATGAATATAGAAGATAACAAAAACAGGGTTTTTTCCATAAAATATAAAATAGCTACTTATTATAGGATAAAACTTAATTATTATACAGATTTTTAAGTAATACCTACACGAATAGACTCCATTATAATTCACTAATTAGAATAAAAAGCCTTAGCTTGTAAGATCACTCTAAGAATTGCTAGACTACTCTTCTCTGACTATAAAAAACCATTTTTCACTATTAAAATCTGTTTTTTTAATAGTTTTAAAATACACCAAAACTGCAACACTATACTTTAGATTCTTACTCTCTGGGATAATTCGTTTTAAGCTTTGATGCGAAGCTGAGAAGGTATAAATTTTACTATGAAGTTTTTTTTTTATGTCTGTCGCCACTTTTTTTCAGCTCTCACTGGACCGATTTCTTTTAACAATACGTCAAAAGATCACAAATGATATCTAGTTGAAGAAATTACCCTTAAAAATTGAAAAATTTTTCCTCGTCCACCGCAAATGGGGGAAACTTTGTCATTTTTTTCACTTTTTTTCTTAAAACTTCCATAACTTTTTCAAAAAGCAACAAATCAACATAATTTTTTTTTTAAATAAAATCATAGATACTTTCCTTTCATTTGATATCATTTTTTTTTGAAAATTTAACACTTAACCTGCTCATTGGGGGGGATTTAAAATAGCAACTTTTTTACAAAAATTGAAAAAAAAAATCCCTCATTTCATGTAAATGTTAGAAATACCCAAAAACTTAAAAATTTTCGAAATTTGTTTACTTAAAACTGCCATAACTTTTTCAAAAATGACCAAATCAGTATAATTTTTTTTTATAGATGCATGCTGTCTTTATCTATCATTTGGTATATTTCATTTACAAATCTGATCCTTTACCTGACCACAGGGGGGAATTCAAAATGAACACTTCTTTAAAAAAATTAACTTTTGAAAGTGTTCGGAAAGTCTGACATTTTTTTATATATCTTAAATTAAAGATAATGTAATATATTTTATTATAGAAAAAAAAAAATATTGGACTTTATTTTGTCATCACGGTAAAAATAGTTACTAAATGCTATTGTGTGAAAATTCTCGATTTTATATTTTACATTTTTAACTTTATATTTCTATAAATTATTAAAAAGTGTATGGATCAATACAATTTTTTTTTGAGAAATTATATTTTTATTCAACATACTGTTTTTTTTAAATAGCACCATTTTGTGATAATATTTGTTTTTTATTCTTAAAATTACTAAAACATTTTTGAAAATGAACAAATCAAAATAATTTTTTTTTAAATAAATACCCTAGGTATTTTCCTTTTGTTCAATATAATTTTTTTCAAAATATGGCCATTTACTATAGGGGAATATTTAAAATAGCAACTTAAATATTGAAAATGTTACAGAAATATTGTGTCCTTTAAACATATGTTAAATTAGAGCGTATATTACATACTATAAATTAAAAAAAAAATTTTTGTTTTAACGACTTATCTTTTATGTGCAAATGATTGCAGTATTTAAAAGTCATGCAATTTTTGTGTTAAAATTTTTGATTTCATTTTTTATTTTTTCCACTTATATTGCTATAATTTTTTGAAAAGTGTATGGATCAATATAATTTTTTTTATATGCTTCTCTCATTCGATATACTCTTTTTTTAAATCAAATCATTTTTCTTAAAACAATGGAGGTTAAAAACTTTAAAAATACGAGTTAAAAGTAGAACTTTTGAAAATGTTCGACAAATACTCTGAGGTTCAATCATAGGTTAAAATAAAATTATGTCATGTAATAGAAATTAAAAAAAAATAGATTGTCCTGACAATCTATTTTCTATGTGCAAATTGCTGCCGTAGTTAAAAATATGCTATTTTTGTGTTAAAATTAAATTTTTTTGGTTTATTTTAAAATACCAAATAAGGGGTTTTCATAGTAATGAGTCCACCAATTTTATAAAATTTACATGAATCCAACTTACATTAAATATAAATTTAAACTTATTTTGATTATTTTGCCTCCTCAAAGTTAAGAAAAAAAGCTGCTATGAATTAGTTTAAATTATCATTTTTAGTTACAATTTCAGATAATACATAGTAGCTGTATCTAATATAATATAGTCTTACATGATCTGGATTCAAGGTTCAAACCACAACCATTAAAAGAACTTTTTTGTATGTTTTCTTAATCCATTTTAAGGTGAAAATAAAATTTTAGTGCGTTTGATTTTTATCTCATTTAGATTGTATAACTTCAATGAATATCAAGAACATTACCACTGTAGTCTCCCATAGTAAAAAGGAATTTCTTATTCATATTGAAATATTTTAGTATATAGTTTTTTTTGTGTCAGTCATTTATTTTTTTCAGCTCTCACTTGACCAATTTTTTTTTTAAATATGACAAAGATCACAACAAGTGTTTAGTTAAAAATATTACCCTTCTTGCTTTTGGAATAATCCACTCATTTCTTAAAATTAAACACTATCTATAGATTTGCATCAAAGTATTTCTTATAGTGGTGATTTTAATCATTGTCAGATGTCATCTATACTTGTCCCAACTATGCAACAACCCCGCTGTGCTACCATTTTATTTTTATTTTTGGTTACTTTTAGTTCCATATTATTGTTGAATCATTAGTAATGTAATAATTTTTAAGTTCATTCCTTATGCTTTGTAAGTATGTCAACTTTGTTTTTTCAAATGGAAACACATATTTTGAATTTAATAAAATATTTGAGTTTTTATTTTAATAGTAAATGACATTTCAATTTTTAACATAACTTTATTTGTTAATTAGATATAAAACTTTAAAATTCCAAATAAATTAATATCCTTGTATAATGCACAAGGGATTACATAAACAGATAGTTTATTGTTTTTAGTTTCGATGCGAAGCTGAGAAGGTATTGGTTTTACTAAGATGTGTTTATTTTGTTTTTCTCAGCTCTCACCGAACCAATTTCTTTCAATGATACGTCAAAAGATCACAAATCGTATCTAGTCGAAGACATTACCCTCAAAAATTGAAAAAACTCCCTCGTTTCCGGTAAATGGGGGAAACCTCCAAAAAAATTATAAATTTAAAAATCGCTAATTTTCGAAAATTTTTTATTTTTTTTACTTACAATTGCGATAACTTTTTTAAAAATAACCAATCAATATAATTTTTTTTTTATAGATGCTTGATGTCTTTATCTATCATTTGGTATATTTTTTTTGTAAATCTGACACTTAACCTGCCCACAGGGGGGGGATTTAAAATGACAACTTTTTCACAAAAAATTATCTTTTGAAAATGTTCCGGAAGGTCTGACACTTTTATATATATCTTAAATTAAAGCTAATGTAATTTACTTCATTATGGAAAAAAAAAATGTTGGACTTTATGTTGTCTTCGTGATGAAAATGGCTACCGAATGCTATTTTTGTGTGAACATTTCCAATTTTGTATTTTACATTTTTAACTTTATGCTATAACTTTTTGAAAAATGTTTGTATCAATACAATTTTTTCATATGTATTCAAAATTCAAATACCATTTACCATTAAAATAAAAACTTAAACATTTTATTAAATTCAAAATATGTGTTCTCATTTGAAAAAACAAAGCATAAAGAATGAACTTAAAACTTATTATATGGTTAATAATTCAAGAATAATATGGAACTAAAAGTAACCAAAAAAAAAAAATATTTCATAATTATTTGTATTCTGTTAGTGGTTTATAATAAAAAAAATCACTCTGTAGCTGGATAATATTATACAGAGTGTTCAGTAAGGAAACAGTTAAATTGTTACAAACAATGAGTACAATAGAAATTCGTTTCCTTATTTACTGAACACCCTGTATAAATCTAAAGATGTAAAAAACCGTTTTAGCTTCGATGCGAAGCTGAGAAGGTATTGGTTTTACTAAGATGTGTTTTTTTTTTTTTTT